AATTAGTGAACTCTGTGATATCTATGTAGATCTATTCTTGAATAACATTGAAAATGCAGATGAAGTTTCACCCCTGGAATTAAAATAGTTTTGTTTGTTTTCAGAAAAAGGGCCTCTAGTTTTCTACATTCATGATGCAAAAGCACAGAACGCTATTATTCTATCCTTTCACGATGGTGATTTGTGTAAGCCTGGCCTAGGCCCGTTGTAGCTACCCATTCATCATAGCTCTTCCACTTTCATCGTTTTAAATATTTAATACTTTTAAATTATTGCTTGTTGAAGCGAAGAAATAAGGTTTCTTCGTTCGAATATTACTGTGAAATTGGAATCAATATTACAACAATTTTTTTGTATATATTTTCTTTAGCATACAATAAAATAGAAGCAAGGCAAAAACGGCAAATATCTATATGGTCTATGTTCAGCTGTTGACTATTGATAGGATCTAATAATAATGATAGCAGAAGAAGATTATTATCTAACTCTTATTAACATTTTTATTTACCACTGCCGATAAATTTTTATTTGTCTAAAATTTTTATTTACACGCCAATTTTTATTTACCACTGGTTCAAAAATGTCTTGTTCCTAGGAAAATTTGTTGCTATTTACTATGTTGCTCTTTACTGCTTACTAAATGGTCATTAAAATCTAACAACTATGTAGTGCAGCGTTTGAAGTATGTCGCCACAACGTAGTAGATTTTAGTAAAAGTAAAGTAACAAACTTAGACCTTCCACTGCTGGGCACAGGCCTCCAATCATTTCTGAGTGGGTTTGAAGGCTTTAATAAGTGACCGCCGCGCTGTCCCAATGCGTGTTGGCGGATTTCAAATATCTTGGAAATATTTTTTATTAATTCTCAGACGTGCAGGTTCCTCACGATGTTTTCCTTCACCACCGAATACGTGGTGAATCAGCAGAAAAAATTGCAATTAACAATTTCACTTATGCCGGTTATGATCGAACCGGGATTGCTCGCGTATTAAGTCATTTACAGCGAGTGATAAGTTCCTGAGCTACCACGGCGAAAAATTTATAATTGTTTATAATTTTGAAATATTTGAAGATGCCACAATAGCCAATGTTGAGCCAGTTTAACCCAATGAAAATGAGCACAGAACGTACCAATTATAAATTTCTATTCATTTCAATTATAGATAATGCTACGGTTCTTGGAAGAAATCATCGTCACCAATCAAATTTGTGGCGCAATCGTTATTTAAATTCAAATTCAAATTGTTTATTGCATGTCACATTACAAATTTAAGATGGTACAATTTTGATCGGTATACATGTGACGCCCCGCAAGGGCATAGCAACACTAGAGGGCTAACTATTTTCGTATTATCTAATTTTTAAACATAAATTACAAATTATCATATCATCAACATTCAATATTATTTTATATAAATTAATTTAATTTGAAACACAATGAATAGTCTAAGTGTTCTTACTTTATCGTTATTTATCGTCAAAAAAATTCATTTAAATTATAGTAACATTTATTAATAAGAAATATTTTTAATTGTTTATTAAATTGCACAGGATTTTCCAGGATTTTTATGGAATTTGGTAAATGGTTATAAATCTTTATTGACATAACGTGAGGGCTGTTTGAAACTAATTTTAATTTGGAGAAGGGTATCTTAAGCTTATATAAATTTCTATTATTTCTTTTAGTCTTTTTAATAGGTGAGTAGAGTTTTGGGTGCTTCCTAACAAATTTACAAGATTCGAGGATGTAGATAGACGTAAGTGTCAAAATCTTATTTTTTTAATGAAGTGGGGTTTACATGACTCCATTTTGTCCAAATTTATCAATATTCGTAGACACTTCTTTTGTAATATAAATAATTTGTTTATATCACAAGAGTTTCCCCACAAGATGATGCCATAGGAGAGTACGGAGTGAGCATGTGCATAGTAAGCCGCAAGGGCAGTCTTAAAATCTGTCACACGTTTAAGGTGTTGCAGTGCATAAATAAATGAGGATATTTTTTTTGCAACTTTTTGTACGTGCTGTTTCCAACTCAAATGTGTGTCCAGGTCTATTCCTAACAAAGTGCCAGAGTTAACAGTTTCTAGTTTTGTATTTTTATAGTTAAACGATATTTGTAAACCAGTTTTTTGGTAGGGTTTAAATTGAATAATTTTAGTTTTATTAAGGTTAAGTTGTAAATTATGTAATTGTAGCCAGCCAGTAATTTTATCTAATGTATAGTTCAATTTTGTAGTTAAATCTGTGGAATTAGTGCAAGAGATTAATATGGAGATGTCATCTGCAAAGAGCACGCATAGATCGTCCAGTATGTTTGGTAGATCATTTATGTAAATAAGAAACAAAATACAACCCAAAACGCTACCTTGAGGGATAGAGCCAGAAATGAGAGTTGCATCCGATCTGACATGAGTAATTTTGCCTGTCTCGAAGTTGGTATTTTCAATTTCTACATATTGGAAGCGGTTATCAAGATAGGATTTGAACCAATTATGAGCTATTCCCCTAATTCCTGTTTGATACAGTTTTTCCAATAGAGTTCTATAACAGACTCTGTCATAGGCTTTACTCATATCGAGCAAGAGGCCTACTGCGATTTTTTTATCGTCGATTTTGTCTAGGATGCTTTTTACATATTTATAAATTGCTAAGGTAGTGGAGTGGTTTTTCCTAAAGCCATGTTGGTTCACGTGCAAAATATTATATTTTTCATAAAATGAACAAAGACGTTTCGCCATAGCCGCTTCAAATATTTTAGCAGACGTAGGTAACAGAGCTATAGGTCGATAATTATTTATGTCAGTAGTTTCGCCCTTTTTTATGCAAGGGTTTGATTAGAGATATTTTGAGGGCATCTGGGAAGATACCTTCTGAAAAAGATTGATTTACTAATATTGTATAGGGGATTGTTAACAAATCAGCACAACTTTTAATCAAAATAGGAGTCATTTCATCAATGCCGTAGGATGATTTATTTTTAAGATTTTTTATTATGGTATTCATTTCATGAGTTTCTACTGGGCTTAAGAAGAGAGTGTTTTCGATGGATTTTGTTAAAGTTGTTTTATTTAAATTACAGTTATTTGAGTGTAAATTTCCTATAGATGCATAAAAGGTATTAAATAAGTTCGCTACTATTTTAGGATCACATGATATATGTTTATCTGTTATTTTTAGTTGAACATTTCTATATTTTCGTGAATTTTTGTTAGTCTCGTTATTTATGATTTGCCACATAGTTTTAGTTTTATTTTGAGAATTTTCAAATTTATATTTGTTACATAATTTTTTGGATAAATTGATGGCTTTTTTTAATATTTTACAATAATGTTTATAATGATATTTAAAATTTTCATTTTTGGTTTTGGAAACCAATAACTTTAAAAATCTTTTATAGCGACACGATGTTTTTAATCCTACTGTTAAATAATTTTTCTTTGGAGAATTTTTTATTTTTATTTGGATTTTTGGTATACATTTATTTAAAGCTCTTTGTAAAATTTCACTAAATATGTCATAATTCTCATTTACATTTTTATTAGGTTTAAGTATGTCATCCCAATTTATATTAGAAATTTCATTTTTGAATTTAGTTATATTTAAGTTATTGTATATTCGTTTATTTAATAAAAATTGCTTTAAGTTTTGTATTAGAGACGGTATAGAAATTAATAAACTACAATGATCTGAAAAACCAAATTCATGAACAGTTATTTTCATATCCTTTAATTTAAAATTAATAAAAAGTAGATCAATGCATGTGGAGCTGTTTGGTGTAATTCTGGTGGGTTGTTTAATCTTTTGGTGGAAGTTATACGATAACATTAAATTAGAGAGCCTATTTTTTTCGCTATTATTTGTTAGGAAGTCTACGTTAAAGTCGCCACCTATGATAATATTCTTAGAATAATCCTTTTTTGAGATGAGACTCAAGAGTTTTTCTAGACATGAATAGAATACTTCGATTTCCCTTTTGCTATTAGGCCAGTAGAGGTTAATAATTAACAAGTTTATTTGAGAGATTTCAGTAGCACATATTTCAAAAATCATTTCGGTGGACAACGAAGATATATCTATTCGTTCGTAATATTCTAATGTGTTTTTTATTAGTATACATACTCCACCACCGTCATGCTCCTCCCGGCAGAAAGATGAGCTTACGGAATATCCTTCTATTTTCAACAAATCTTTCTTTTGTTTATTTAACCAAGACTCTGATATACATATGACATGAAAATTACATCTATCCTCTATAAATGCCTCTAGTAGGTGAGTTTTATTACAAATACTTTGCATATTTTGAAACATAATATTAAAATAAACTCCGAAAAGTAGAGTTACTTGTTAAATTATTGTCTTTTGTTGGTCCTACTCCGTCTCTGGTTATAGCTTGATTTGTGTTTTTTGTAGAGATGGGAACGGTAAAGTTTGACATACATTCTTCGGTTTGCGTAGATTTATCGAATAATTTGTCAGAATCAATACAATTATATGAAATTACATGATTGTTTGTTATTTTGTATGCGTTAATTTTTATTTGATATTCATTGCGTAATATCTCTTTTAGCAACGAGCGGCAAACAAAAGTGGAAAAAAATGACTTAAATGGTATAAAATGATCAAAACCCATCTCTACAAATATACAATTTTTGTGACGATTACAAATATATCTCAGTTCATAATTTAATTTTTTTTCATTTAAAAGTTTGTTATATGGAATTTCGGATATAATTACATTTGTATTTGATAAACAATTCAAATAAACTTCTATATTACACTTAAATTCAAATGGATTTTTGTCATTAATTCCCCCCATAATTATGACGTAATCTTTACTTGTGAGTGACAACAATTCCTGTTTAAATGAGGATAATAGATCATACATTTTCGCACCCGGTTTCCATAGACAAGTGACTAAAAATTCATCTCCGATAAGGTTTTGAAGGCAGTGACGAACTCCTCGACCCTGTTGATCTGCGATGATAAATATTTTTTTCTTAGTGCTGTATGTTGGAATCATGGAGCTTATTCCATTCTTTACTATTATTTTTGTTTGAAATTGCGAAGGTGTCAGGTCTGTGGTGCACGTGGAATGATTTTCGGTGTACTCTTTGGCTTCTTTTTTTTGTTGTGGAGCATATTACATTACCCTGTAATTTTTTTATATTTTGGTTTAATTTTTCTATTTGTCTGTTAGCTTCTTCCAATTCTTGTTCAAGTTTCTTAATTTTGTTTTCAAGATTAATTACTTGTGTAATACTTGTCTTAGGGGATATGGAATTTGTTTTTGTAGGAGTTTTACCCACAGATATAAAGTTTTTAATTCTTTTTATGACCGGAGAAGACATTACTAAATTTTCAGAAATACCAATTTTTTTCATTAAACTTAGAGTATTTTCTCTTTGGGCTAGAGTTTTTTTTAGGTCTATATTTTCTAGAGATAATCGCTCCACTTCTTCGTTAGCAGATTCCAGTAATAATTTCTGTTCATTAATTTGACGTTGTAAGTTTTTTGTGTAGTCATTTTCCGTGATGGAAGTGTTTGGTAAACTTAGCGTAGATGTGTCGAAAGGATTCGAATAATTTACATTGCATTCATCGATAATTATTGAAAGATCTGTAACTGATTTAGATTTGTGTTTTCGTAAAGTGATGTTTGTTTTTTCCATTATTATTGTCTTTTTAATTGCATTGAAATTACAAATCACTATAGTTAACAAAATAATTTCAGATCAGTAGTGACATCTGTTGTAGGTCATACTAGTGCTTTATTACCTATCAATGTATGCAGGTCAGTAGTACCATTAAATTTTGAAAGGTGGCGCTACTTCCAAGTTTTTTAAAAATAAAAAACGGTCTGTATTTAATATTAAATTTGTTGAAATCGTAGTTAATCCGATTATTCCACAATTCACTATATATCGTTTTGTATCAGAGCACTGTGAGTCTGGATACACATTCACAATCACTTGAGATATCTTAAATTTATCTGTATTAGTCACTGTTACAATTATTTTTATTTAGCAGTATTTTTGTTTATTATACACTACGAATACCTTGAATAACACTGGTGCCGTTAATTAGCGTGTTTATGGTTACTTTATTACACTAATCACTGTTTAAAACTTATAAGGACTGTTAAAATAAATTAAAATAATAAGAGCTCGTACAGAGCACCGTTTATTCCACTACCGCCCAAATGTTATGGTCAGAGGAAAGCTATAAGTGAAAGTTTTCAATAAAAGTTTTTCATTTCACGACTTCGTGGCGCAGTTACTTAACACTGAGTTGCAGCGTTTAGGAATCCCGCACGGAATATACATTTTTATGGCCTACAAATAATTATACTGGGATGTTCGTTTTTTTTAGTTTAGGTTCATAAACCGTCCTTACGATACAGGAGAAATTCCTAGTGTGAAGTACCGTGATTTTTTTAAGAAAATAATTTTTATTTTTAATTTAAATTCTTTAATTTAAATTAAAAATAAAAATTATTTTCTTTTTATCTTAAGTTTAAATTATTTAAAATTTGGTTGATAAACTTTTGTTTATCAACCAAATTTGCGATAAATTGAAGATATACCTAGTAAAGAGTACCTGTAACTGACAACCATGTATGTGTAGATGACGTGATGATATCAATGTTTCTAGGGACGAAGTAAGTGTCATCTGCTAAAGCTAAATTATCGAATTTGGTCATTGCGGAAGCGTCGACCGAATGGTCGGCAAAAGCTCGGTCACTTTATCTATTACTAATGAACCATATTAAAATTAATGCTCCGATCAAAACGAGAAAAATGAGGTCTAATCTTAGAGTATTTATGAGCATAGCTTGTTCATTTATACTCTAGGGGTCTAACATATCTCTAGCTTATCGTAAAATGTCTTTTATATCTGCGTACACCCCCGGATGATAAGCGTCAATTTATTTATGTTATGTCGTGTGATTTTCATCTTGAAATACCATACCCAGGATATTTTTTTCTTATTACAGAGGCTCAGAGGTACGCTAATTGTTTAATAGGTAATGGATGACATTTTAATTTTACAAATAAGGGCGATTACTAAACATAATTCACTGTATGAAAATCAAAACTAATAACCACAGTTTGCCAACAAAAGTTGCAGAATGTTACAGTGATTTAGATTTGCTGGCACCACGCAAACTTTGAAATTTATCGGTGTTTCTTGGCTCCACGCTTGCTTTGTGGGATAAAAGCTACGTTTTGACATTGATCAATTAACTTTCTACCCAATATACCCTTTTCACGCACTCGTACCTTTCTTAACTGAACTTTGAATTTTCCCGTAAATGTTTTTTTCACCAGGCTCCAACCTTAAAATTTGTAGTGTGTTAGAAAACCACAATACTGAGTAGTCGATTTACGGTATCCAAGGGCGAAATTCAAGGTTAAAAATCACTCTGTTTTCGTTTAAATGACATTGCATTGCATTTTAGCTACATCATATTTTTATGGCAAACAAAGTATTAACTAAACGGCGTTTGAATAAATAATTTTGTAGCCATCACCATTTTATCCCACAGATTCCACACAATTAGATTACGCGATGCAAGCAGCATCACTTATGATGTTTTAAACGTGAACGGCAGATTTTATACCGCATACTTTTTTTTTCTTGTTTTGCTATAGAATATGCACCAGAAATTATGATATGAAACGTGGTTACTACTGGCTTGAAGGTCAAAGTCACTCAACGTGCGATGGAAAGGGCTATACTTGGAAGTTCTTTGTGGAATATAGTCGTCACGAACTTTAAGAGAACAAAAGTAAATGACATAACCTAGTGGAGAATGCTGATGTGGCAATAGGCCAGCCATATACTATTAAATTAAATAAAATTAAATAATATATTATATATACATATATATATATATATATATATATATATATATATATATATATATATATATATATATATATATATATATATCCATACCTAAACGTGCATATAATAAAAAGATTCAATATGAACTTAATCTTATCCTCTCGTCTGTGAGGCGACCTAGTCCCGGTTAGTGACAGAATATGCGCGTCTGTCAAGCGACCATGAGCCGGATCCAATAAGTAGTCCTTCGTCTTGCTTAAATTAAAGGTTTTCGCATATATCTTTCGCTTTTTAACTCATTACGAAAGCATACTGCTTAAATATGTTAGCTATTGGACCGCGTCTTTGCCGGCTTACGTCATGTAAAAGTCAAATATTATGAGGAGAAGTGCGCCAGTCACATACGTCTAACCACATTGTTTAAGTGTGTAAAAAAGGTAAACAGCGGTTAAAAAGGTTGATAAAGAAGAAAATATGATGGAAAGGTAAGTTATGTTAAATTTATATGTATAATATTAAAGGTGTACCTTATTTTTTTTGTAATTTTTCGGCCTTTTTTTCAAGCCTACTCTGTGTCGAACTATGAGCATGATTTTGATTTGGTTTAATTTTTATTAAAACACGTCTAACTCATTAATTTTATATCATGAACTAGTCGCCCACTTAATGAATTTAGCTTAGATTTAGTGTGAAACATCTATTAATACTTAAGAAGTAATAAATAGATGTACTTTACTTTCAAACCGGGAATCGAAAGGACTAACTATAGTATGCATATCCCCTGCGTGTTAGAATTTTTCAATCGATTTCACAAAGAAGTAGGAGGGTCGCAATACGACTGATTTTTTACATGTTTGTTATCCCATTTTACTTCATTTACATTTACACACATTTTAATATTTGTTATTATTATTCGAAAAATATTCTTCGCCCAATGGGATGAAATTAAAGTCGGTGTTTTTTTTTTTTTTGAAGCACTACAGGTTTTTAATGTTTCATAATATTTTTGAAAAGTTATGTACGTTAATTTTTTATTTTCATGATTTTTTTTAAATTTCTGTTTGGAATTTTTAATGCTATTTCCGTTTAGTGTTTTTATTTGCTTTGTTCTGTTTTGAGTGCTTTCTTGCTTTTTCGATGTATAAGATCAACAACAAGAGGCGCCGGTGGATGCGGGGCACGCAGGGCCTCTGGTCCACGTACGTGTGGTGGGCGGCCTGGAGGAGGTGGTGGCGGCTTACAAAGGCCTTCTTCTGACTCGTAATAGCGGCTTTTTATTAAAACATAAATAATTATTATACAATTAGTTGAGTGGCTTGACGTCGACTTCTGGGACAGCCGATATATATATATATATATATATATATATATATATATATATATATATATATAGTAGTATAATGCTCAAAATTGTATTTTAGAATATTCAGTGGCCCCCTCGATGATATCTCGGAGACTTGGGCTCTGGAGAGAGCCATAACCTCTAAACGACCACGAATTCTTCCTGAACCAAGACCATCAACATTGACTACGTAAATATTTACAAATTATGTCCGTTTCTTAATGTATGTTGTCGTAGTAGTAATAATGCGTCGAAATGTGATAATAATTTGGTTTTTAGAACACAACGTTTGTGGTCGTCTCTGGAGGTAATGACATGCGGCCCAGCTTCAGAACCAATCACACTGCCTGAGAGCCCCCCTACGCCTGCCACACTGTGTGCACGCTCTGGCCCCCTTCACCCGCTCTGTAATTATTGACAATTTTATGTATTTATTTTACATAACATATTTCTGTTAAACTAAATTAAACATAAAAACAATGGCAGGCACATTGAATGTGGCAGTAGCGGGGCCTCTACGCCACATTCAATCGTAATCGATGCAGCAAAACGACCCAGGTTAGTTTTAGTAATGTAATTTTAGAAGTAGTATTGGTAAAAAAGAAACTAAAATTGGCATAAACTAAAAGAAAATGGGCTACTATATGGGCTTAACGTATAAACCTTACATACACACATTACATACATACTTTATTATTCCGTTTACCCTATAATCTTTATCTGTTTAATTTTAATGAATTAAAGTAAGAGAAACGACGCTAAAATGCATTAGACGTTATTAATATAAATCAGAAAGTCTAGGGAAAGTTCTTTCTCTTTTGAATTTATGACCCGCAGTATGAATATTAAAGAATACATAAATCAAAATATATTTATTTCCTTTGTAGTGCTGAGTTCACAGTCATAATGCCAATATTGTTTGGATGAAATATGGTTCCTCTATCTCTTCTGAGTATTTCTATACTATTTTAAATTGACGACGTACGTAAATAAATGAAAATTATAATTCCTTGGTGCTACTTAAGTACCATTTTAAAAATATTTTTATGTTTTTAAGAAATTCATCAACAGTTCATCCACCAGAAAAGGGTATTCCTGTTCTACATCCATCAAAACACTCAATATTTATAGGCAGAGTAGGATTTGAAGAAATACTTAAAATATTAAATAGTCTAAAAAATAAACTAAGCCGTGGTGTTGATGAGATTCCCCCAACATTGTTCAAACAATGTGCAAGCGTTTTAGTATATCCACTAACATTATTAGTAAACCAATCTTTTGAAAAAAGCGTATTCCCAGATATACTAAAACTTTCACTAGTGAAACCCATCTACATAAAAGGTACACAAACGGACCCAGGTAACTATCGACCTATCGCTTTATTGCCCACAGCCTCTAAAATATATGAAAAAGCATTATACGACCGTATCTATAAATTCTGTGAAAAATATAATATATTTAATGAAAGACAAAACGGTT